CTCCACAGCGCCTGGTACATCGTGACCCCGTATTATGTAATAGGTGCTTTGTTCACGTCCCATTGAGCACCAGCAAGCCTGGGGGGTGGGGGGGATGGCCTCTCTCAGTCGTGCACACTGTCATATCCCGGCCCCTGGATCACTGCCCGCACGCTCCTGTCACACGTAGACCCGCCTGACTGCCATTCATCACCGAGCCCAGCAGCTGGCACAGGCAGGCCCGGCGCAGCAAGAGGCACAGTCCATGTTGCTTGCTTGCATGGCGACTGCAAACTGCACAGTTAGCAGAAAAGGTTTTTGGGAGTGACAGACACCCGTGCACACGGTTGAGCCCTTTGTAAGTCTCCGTGTGACAAGTACCTCCCTGCTGTGCTTGGGAAAGGGCTGCGACTTGGGAAAAGGCTGTGTGGGTTCCCCGGCTTCTTCCTGCTGTCCCTGAGGAACACTGGAAATGGGTCACAACACAGCAAGTAATTGCAGCCGCCCTCAGGCAGAGCTGAGTGGCTCAGTATTCCATTTAAGGCTTGATCAGAGCTCCTCTGGGCCACATGGAGCCCCCAGGACATGGCTGGACTAGGAGTTGGGGCCCTGATCTCCCTCCCTGGCCAGGTCACGCCCTCCATGCCACTTGACTCTTTGGGACCTGCCTGGAAGGTGGGGGAGTGATCCAGGCTAGCTCGTCCCTGGGGACCGAGTCCTGCTGCACCTGGGGTGGTCACAAATCTGCTTTCAGAAAAATCATGGGGGTGGGGCTAGGGGGCTACTCAGCCGGGAAATCATTACATACATTTCCGATCGTGGATCGCAGTGAAAGTTTTTGGGCATCTAACTCGGAAGTAATTCTAGATTTGGGATTTTTTTTTTTGCTCTAAGAAAACTCCACCTTAGGCCAGGTGCGGTGGCTCACACCTGGAATTTCAACACTTTGGAAGGCCGAGGTGGGCACATCACTTGAGGTCAGGAGTTCAAGACCAGCTTGGTCAACATGCTGAAACCCTGCCTCTACTAAAAATACACAAATTTGCCGGTACAGTGGCACGTGCTTGTCATCCTGGCTACTTGGGAGGCTGAGGCAGGAGAATTGCTTGAACCCGGGAGGGAGAGGTTGTAGTGAGCAACCTCCTGAAGAAATTTTCTTTTTCTTATTTATTTATTATAGAAACAGGGCTCTCACTATCTCGACCTGGGTGCATGCACTACCATGTCTAGCCTGGAGTTTTCTTTTTATGCTTAGAACCTTTGGTCACTGAAATATTTCTTAAACATTAAATTTCTTTTTTTCTTTTTTTTTTTTAAGACGGAGTCTTGCTCTGTTGCCCTGCCTGGAGTGCAGTGTCGCAGTCTTGGCTTGCTGCAACCTCTGCCTCTGAGGACGGGTTCAAGCCATTCTCCCATCTTAGCCTCCCAGGTAGCTGGGACTGTACAGATGCACGCCACTACACCCAGCTAGTTTCAGTATTTTTGGTAGAAACAGGGTTTCACTATGTTGGCCAGGCTGGTCTCAAACTCCTGACCTCAAGTGATCTGCCCACCTTGGCCTCCCAAAGTGCTGGGATTACAGGCATGAGCCACTGCACCCAGCCTAAAAATTAAATTTCAATTCAATGTGATAGGGTAATTAGTGCTAACCTTCAGTCATAAACATGTATTAGTATAAGATCCTATGAAGGAGGCGAACAGAAACCAACTTCAAAGCAGAAAGAGAGCAAATGTTAAAGAGCTTATTCATAGCCTCTTATTTTTTTTTAAAGGGATAATGGTAGGGTTCAAATTACTAAAGCATTTAGACTCTGTAGATAGATTTAACAGAGCCCTGTAAATGTTTATGTAAAAATTTTAATACCGACAGTAGGCCAAAAATGACATCTTTGGCAACTCTTAAAGCTTAGGTAAAAAATACTAGATGTCACCTTAAAAATGTTGGGGGTGTATATAACATTTGCAAAATTATTTTAGGAGCAAAAAGTTTGCAGAGCACTGAGTTTGCACACTCAGATATTTCTGTCTGATTCAGGATGGGAGGGTGGTGGCAGCTGGTGCTTCTCAATGAACTGGATCTCTCCATGTGGATTTTTTATTATTTTATTTTATTATTTATTTATTTATTTTTTGAGATGGAGTCTCGCTCTGTCGCCCAGGCTGGAGTGCAGTGGCGCAATCTCAGCTCATTGCAAGCTCTGCCTCCCGGGTTCATGCCATTCTCCTGCCTCAGCCTCCTGAGGAGCTGGGACTACAGGTGCCCGCCACCATGCCCGGTTTTTTGTTTTTGTTTTTTGTATTTTTAGTAGAGACGGGCTTTTACTGTGTTAGCCAGGATGGTCTCGATGTCCTGACCTTGTGATCTGCCCGCCTCGGCCTGCCAAAGTGTTGGGATCACAGACATGAGCCACCGCACCCGGCCTATTTTATTTTCTGTTTTTTGAGATAGAGTCTCACTCTGTTGCCCAGGCTGGAGTGCAGTGGCATGAACTCTGCTCACTGCAACCTCTGCCTCCCAGGTTCAAGCGATTCTTGTGCCTCAGTCTCCGGAGTAGCTGGGACTACAGGCGTGTGTCACCACACCCAGCTAATTTTTTGTGTTTTCAGTAGAGATGGATTTTCACCATGTTGGCCAGGATGGTCTCAAACTCCTGACCTCAGGTAATCCACCTGCCTTGGGCTCCCAAAGTGCTGGGATTATAGGCGTGAGCCACCGTGCCTGGCCTAATATGTATATTTTTTTGAGTCAGGGTCTCATTCTGTCACCCAGGTTGGAATGCAATGGTGCTATTATAGTTCACTGCAGCTTGGGCCTCCTGGGCTTAAGCAGTACTCCTGCCTCAGCCTCCTAAGCAGCTGGGACTACAGGTGCATGCCACCTACAGCCGGCTACTTTTGTTTAATTTTGGTAGAGATGGGGGTCTTGTGATGTTGCCCAGGTTGGTTTTGGGTCTTGGACTGTGGGCCTCAAGGGATCCTCCTGCCATGGCCTCCCAACCATGTGGATGTTTAATGGGCATTTCTTTTTTTTTTTTGAGACAGAGTCTTGCTCTGTCGCCCAGGCTGGAGTGCAGTGGTGTGATCTCAGCTCATTGCAACCTCTACCTCCCGGGTTCAAGCGATTCTCCTGCCTCAGCCTCCAAGTAGCTGGGACTACAGGCGCATGCCACCACGCTCGGCTAATTTTTTGTGTTCTCAGTAAAGATGGGGTTTCACTGTGTTAGCCAGGAGAGTCTCCATCTCCTGACACCATGATCCGCCCCCCTTGGCGTCCTAAAGTGCTGAGATTACAGGTGTGGGCCACCATGCCTGACCCTAATGGACATTTCAAACTTTACATGTCCAAAATGGAGCTTCTGATTTTTCCCCTTGAACCTGCATTTCCCCACCCCAGTTTGTGGCAGTTCCGGCCTGTTACCCAGGCCCTAAGCTGTTTGACTCTGCTCTTTCTCTCATACCTCATGTCCAAAGGTCAGCACATCCCTAAGCTCAGCATTCTGGAATTTAACCTCTTCGCATCAGCCTCACTGCTGTTACCAGGCCTAAGCCACGGGCTGGCAAACTTAATCCACCTAGTAAAGATCTTAGGCTTTGCCTAAGGGTCTCTGCAGCACTACTCATCTCTGCCGTCTCTCTTTTTTTTTTTGGGACGGAGTTTTGCTCTGTCGCCCAGGCTGGAGTGCGGTGGTGCGATCTCAGCTCACTGCAACTTCCGCTTGCCGGGTTCAAGCAATTCTCCTGTCTCAGCCTCCCAAGTAGCTGGGATTACAGGTGCGCATCACCACACCCAGCTAATTTTTGTATTTTAGTAGAGACAGGGGTTCGCCATATTGGCCAGGCTGGTCTCGAACTCCTGATTTCAAGTGATCTGCTCACCTTGGCCTAAAAGTGCTGGGATTACAGGCATGAGCCTGCGCATCCAGCCATCTCAGACATCTTAGTGGCAGTGATACCACTACAGTGGCAGCCATATATGAATATATCACATACAGACGTCATCCAGTGAGCATGGCACGTTCAATACAACTCTATTTATGGCCACCGAAATTGAATTTAATTTTCACGTGTCATGAAATAGGTTTCTTTGATTTCTTTTCCACCCGCTTAAAAATGGTAAAAACCTCATTTATTTTTTAAAAGATAAAACAAATGTTAATAGTTTGCTGACCCCTTTGTCTAAGCCATCATTATCTTCACAGAATTATTTCTACAACCTTTAATTGGACTTTTTTTTTTTTTTTTGAGATGCAGCCTTACTATGTTGCCAGGCTAAGGGTGCAGTGGCGCGATCTCGGCTCAACACAACCTCCGCCTCCCGGGTTCAAGCAGTTCTCCTGCCTCAGCCTCCCAAGTAGCTGGGACTACAGGCATGTGCCACCATGCCCAGCTAATTTTTGTATTTTTCATAGAGACGGGGTTTCACCATTTTGGCTAGGCTGGTCTTGAACTCCTGACCTTGTGATCTGCCCTCGGCCTCCTAACCCGGCTAAGTTTTTAATAGTTTTTGTAGAGATAGTGGTCTCGCTATGTTGCCCAGCCTGGCCTCAAACTCTTGGGCTCAAGTGATCCTCCTGCCCTGGCCTCCCAAAGTGCTGGGATTACAGGCATGAGCCAGTGTACCTGACCTGCACTCTGCTTTTGGCCACTTTATAAAATACTGTAGGCCAGGCACGGTGGCTCATGCCTGTAATCCCAGCACTTGCGGAGGCCGAGGCATGCAGATCACGAGGTTAGGAGTTTGATACGTGCCTGACCAACATGGTGAAACCCCATCTCTACTAAAAGTCCAAAAATTAACTGGGCATGGTGGCATGCACCTGTAATCCCAGCTACTCAGGAGGCTGAGGCAGGAGAATCACTGGAACCTGGCAGGCGGAGGTTGCAGTGAGCCGAGATTGTGCCACTGCACTCCAGCCTGGGTGACAGAGTGAGACTCTGTCTCAAAAAAAATAAATAAATAAAAAATAAACTGTACACCTGGCCCCATCGACTGCCACTCCCTGTCCGCTTTCCTTTTTTTCTTCTTTCCATGTCACATGTCACGTTTGAATATATTACTTACAGCGATTTATTTCATTGTCATTCTTTCTTTGCTAAGATGTCAGTTTCATGCGAGCAAGGATTTTTGTCTTTCCTTCTATAGCTGAACCCCAAAGTTCTTAACAGTGCCTGGCATGTGTCAGTGAACAAACAAGCCTCAGTTTCCTTATCTGCAAAAGAGGATGAATACATTGCAAAGGAGATGATTCGTGTTGAGGATGAGCCTCGGTGCCTGGCTGGTTGTGAGTGGGCGGGTGGTGGTAGCTGCTGCCGCTTGTATAAGGCCAGACACATAGATCCCAGTCTAGGCTATTTGGCAAGCTGAGCTCATGGGGGTGGACTAACCTGTCTGCTGGACTTGGGCAGTGGGGGGCTTGGCTCCTTCAGTCAGTTTGTGTCCGCAGGGCTCAGCCTCTGGCCCCCTTCCAGCTTCCTGGTCCGACAGCGCCTTCCTGCCCTGAGCTGGAGAGAGACCCGGATGTGGTCACCAACTGCCACCCAGCCGTGGGTGCAGGGATGCAGTTCTGTACCATTCCCCGGGGGTCTGGGACCCGGGGAGTTGGGTGGTTGGTTCTTGCACTGGAGCTCCTTGAGGGCTGGCCCCAGTGGCCAGGAGCATCAATTTTTTTTTTTTTTTGAGACGGAGTCTCGCTCTGTCGCCCAGGCTGGAGTGCAGTGCCCGGATCTCAGCTCACTGCAAGCTCCGCCTCCCGGGTTTACGCCATTCTCCTGCCTCAGCCTCTTGAGTAGCTGGGACTACAGGCGCCCGCCACCTCGCCCGGCTAGTTTTTTGCATTTTTTAGTAGAGACGGGGTTTCACCGTATTGGCCAGGATGGTCTCGATCTTCTGACCTCGTGATCTGCCCGTCTCGGCCTCCCAAAGTGCTGGGATTACAGGCTTGAGCCACCGTGCCCGGCCCAATTTTTTTTTTTTTTAGACGGAGTCTTGCTCTGTTGCCCAGGCTGGAATGTGGTGGCATGATCTCAGCTCACTGCAACCTCCACCTCCTGGGTTCATGTAATTCTTCTGTCTCAGCCTCCCAAGTAGCCGGGACTACAGGCACATACCACTATGCCTGGCTAATTTTTATAGAGACAGGGTTTCACCATGTTGGCCAGGCTAGTCTCGAACTCCTGACCTCAGGTGATCCACCTGCCGCGGCTTCCCAGCGTACTGGGATTATAGGCATGAGCCACCGCACCCGGCCAATTATTATATTTTGTGTAAGAGACGGAGTTGTGACTTGTTGCCCAGGCTGCAGGAATTCCCTAATTCATAAGCAGTCCCTGTGTTAGATCCTCTTGCAGGCACACCCATTTACTAATTGGAGAAGCAGACAGGCAAGGCAGGTCTGACACCGCCCCCTGTGGCAGTGCCTCTCAGTCAGCATTGAGGACATGCCCCTGCTTTTCCAGGCCCATTGACGGTCTTAGTTTGTGACAGGAAAGCATGCAGGAGGCATTGCCCAGCTGTAAACCCTGCCTGGGCCCTGCTGTGGTATGAGTTGTTGATGGCCCTTCTGCTCTGGTACAGCCTGGCTGTGTGAGGCTGTGGGGCAGAGGCCAGCGGGCTGGGTCCTCAGGCCAGGCAGAGGCTCAGTCCTCAGTGTCTGCTGGAGGATTGCATGCAGGGTGGTGGTGGTGTTTTTTTTTTTTTTTTTTTTTTTTTTGGTTTTACCCTTATTTCTTTATTTCTTCCTTTCTTCCTCTTTCTCTCTTTCTTCCTTTCTTTCCCTCCCTCCCTTCTCTTTCTTTTCTCCTTCCTTCCTTCTTTCTCTCCTTCCTTCCTTCCTTCTCTCTTTCTTTCTCTCCTTCCTTCCTTCTCTCTCTTTCTTTCTCTCCCTTCCTTCCTTCCTTCCTTCCTTCCTTCCTTCCTTCCTTCCTTCCTTCCTTCCTTCCTTCCTTCCTTCCTCTCCTCTCTCTCTCTCTCTTTCTTTCTTTCTTTCTCTTCCTCTCTTCCTTTCCTTTTTTTTTTTTTCGTTGGACAGAGTCTTGCTGTGTCTCCCAGGCTAGAGTTCAGTGGCGTGATCTCACGCTTACTGAAACCTCCGCCCCCAGGTTCAAGCGATTCTCCCGCCTCAGCCTCCCGAGTAGCTGGGACTACAGGCGCCCGCCACCACGCTCGGCTAATTTTTTGTGTTTTTAGTAAAGATGGGGTTTCACTGTGTTAGCCAGGATAGTCTTGATCTCCTGACCCCATGATCCGCCCCCCTCGGCGTCCTAAAGTGCTGGGATTACAGGTGTGAGCCACCGTGCCTGGCCTTTCTTTTTTTTTGAGATAGGGTCTCATCTGTCGCCCAGGCTGGAGTACAGTCAGTGGTGCAGTCATAGCTCACTGCAGCTTTGACCTCCTGGGCTCAAGCAATTCACCTACCCTGGCCTTCCAAAGTGTTGAGATTACAGGTGTGAGCCACTGTGCCCGGCCTTTTTCTTTTTCTTTTTTTTTTTGAGATAGCATGGCTTCTGTCCCCCAGGCTGCAGCGCAGTGGTGCAATGATAGGTCACTGCAGCCTTGACCACCTGAGCTCAAGCAATCCTCCCAGACTGGCCTCCCAGAGTGCTGGGATTATAGGCGTGAGTCACCGCGCCCGGCCTGCCGTTTCCTTTCTCTGTTGCACGTAGCCCTGTTCTCTAGAACGGAGGCGTTATTTTATTATAGGAGCTTTTGGGCCTGAGCAAGCTGGGTGGACACTCACATTGGCACTTGCAGGCTACTTACCTCGGGCAAGGGCTTCCTCGTTCCCAAGCCCCAGTTTTCCGAGCCACTTAACAGGCATCACAGTCCTTTGCCTGGGTGAGGCCTGGGTGGCGGTCTCAGCACAGCCCCAGGTACGGGGTGAGCATCTGATAGATGTCACTGCTGGTGGCACATCTGAATGAAACAGGCCAGAGCAGTGCCGCTCTGCGTGGGCCAGTGCTCCTTGGAGGCCCGAGGGCACAGCCCCAGGGAGGGGGCGTAGGCCATGGGTGCCACGGAGAATGGGGGCAGGCCCAGGGCTGAGACCCAGGTTTTCCGACTTCCCGTTGTGTTTGTCCTGTGCCATATTCGTCCTCCGACTCCTGTGGCTGCATTGCGCAAGCCGGGAGCTCATGCGTCCGAGGACCATCCTCCAAGGCTGGATTGCTCCCTGCTCTCTTGGGGCTCCGCTGGGTGGGAATAGCAACTCCAGCTTCTCGGGGCCCCGGGCTACCGCTGTCTCTGCATCTGACCCTGGTCTCAGATCCAAGAGCCTAGGGATATTGGCATTGAGACCCTGGCACCTCTCGACTTGCCAGCACGGGTGGGAGACAGGAGCAGAGTGGTCCAGGGGCCTGGGAGTGGGAGGTCAGCGTCTCTCAGGGTTCCTCCCCACTCCGGGTGACATTCTGCTTCTGCCGTGGCGCCTCGGGGAGGCAGGTGCGGCCACCCCTGGGTGCTGCTGAGAAATGAGGTCACATGCTGAGGCCACTGGGGAAGGTGGTATTTCTGGCTGAGCAGGCGTGGCCTGTGCAGGGTTCCTGGCAGCTGAGCCCTAGGTCTTCTCAGCCATCCTGGCATTAGCAGGTTGACTTGATATTTCTGGAAGTGGGAAGGAAAGGGAGCCGAGGGGGCCGACCCGCTGAGCCGGGGTCCAGATGAATGTGTCAGAGTCTCTGCATTTGTGATGGGGGTGAGGTGGCCGGCTTGGCTCTGGGCATGATCGGGCCAGGCCTCCGACCTCTGTGCTGGGCATTGCGTGGACAGGGAGCTCAGGCGATGAGTGCAGCAGCGCTTGTGCCCGGCACAGGGATGGTGAGTGCCCGGCTGGCCAGCTGCAGGACCTGTCGGACCCTTTGTGTCTTTACTTAGGGCCCTGGTTGCACCGACCAGGGGTCGCACCTCCAGCCAGGCCTCTTGTGCCCCAGACCTGGGAGAAGATGCTTCCTACCAGGGAGTGCAGTCCCCTGTGGGGTCCGAGAGAGCCTGCTGGAGCTTTGAGCTCAAGAGGTGGGCTGTGTGGCACTGCATCAGCTCTGCGAGGGGGCCTTGGAGGCCCATGTGTGGTGGGGTATGGCCTGGCTTTGAACATGCACGCATGGTCTTCTGGGCTCTGGGATTTACTGCTTAGATCTTGGCCTCTTCTTCTGTGAAACGGAGTTAATGGTTCCTGCTCCCCTCCGGCCGCTGTAGGAGAGACGTCTGGGAAGCTGCGGCAATTCCAGCCCCAGGCAGGGAATGTGAAATAACTGTTGGTAGCTGTTCTCACCCATCACCATCGGGCAGGTCGAGTCCTAGGACACACAGAAGTTGCAGGTTCATAAGCCATGGTGGGTGAGGCCGGCCCAGAATCCCAGCGCCCCATCTGGCCCAGGTCTGCCCCTAGTCTGGGGCTGAGAGGGCGGGCGGGCACCTTGCTGGGTCCTGTGATGTGGACTCTGCCGCCAGCAAGGCCATTGAGCCTGCTTGTTTACAGCTGGGAGGGGACTGGGAAGCACCAGGCTTGGCCTGTTTGTGAAGCTGCGGAAGCCGAAGCTCCAGAGGCCTTCTGTGCCTGGCTGTGTGCGCCAGGCCTGCGGGCTGCGCCTCCAGGGGGTGGGCGGGAATTGCAGGCTCAGCTGTTCTAGCCTGGGCTCAGGTGGTGCCTGCTCCTCCCTCCTTCCCTGTAGCTCTCATCCCACACCCACTCCACTCTCAGGCCATCTTGCCTTTACCTCCATAGTCTGTCCAGAATCCCGAATTTCACCGCTTGTCTCTGCCTTGTGTGGTTTTTTTTTTTTTTTTTTTTTTTTTTTTTTTTTTTTTGAGATGGAGTCTTCCTGTGTCGCCCAGGCTGGAGTGCAGTGGCGCGACCTCTGCTCACTGCAACCTCCGCCTCCTGGGTTCAAGCAATTCTCCTGCCTCAGCCTCCTGAGTAGCTAGGACTACAGGCATGCACCACCACGCCCGGCTAATTTTTGTAGTTTCAGTAGAGATGGGGTTTCACCATGTTAGCCTGGCTGGTCTTGATCTCTTGACTTAGTGATCCGCCTGCCTCAGCCTCCCAAAGTGCTGGGATTATACGTGTGAGCCACTGCACCTGACCTTGTTTTTTTTTTTTTTTTTTTTTTTTTTCTGAGGCAGGGCCTTGCTTTGTCACCCAGGCTGGAGTGCAGTAATGCAATCATGGCTCACTGCAGCCTTGAACTCCTAGGCTTAAGCATTCTCCTGCCTCAGCCCCTGAGGAGTAGGTGGAACTATAGGTACGAGCCACCACACCTGGCTAATTTTTTATTTTTATTTTTTGAGACAGGGTCTTGCTCTGTGGCCCAGGCTGGAGTGCAGTGGTGCGATCTCGGCTCACTGCAACCTCCACCTCCTGGGTTCAAGTGATTCTCCCGCCTCAGCCTCCTGAGTAGCTGGGATTACAGGCGCCCACTGCCATGCCCAGCTATTTCTTTTGTATTTTTATTTATTCATTTTTATTATTATTTTTAGACAGAGTCTCACTCTGTTGCCCAGGCTGGAGTGCAGTGGCACAATCTCAGCTCACTACAACCGCCGTCTCCTGGGTTTAAGTGCCCATTGTGCCTCAGTCTCTCAAGTGGCTGGGATTACAGGTGTGCGCCACCCCATCCAGCTAATTTTTGTATTTTTAGTAGAGATGGGGTTTCACTATGTTGGTTAGGCTTATCTGAAACTCCTGAACTCAGGTGATCTGCCTGCCTCAGCCTCCCAAAGTGCTGGGATTACAGGCATGAACCACCGTGCCCAGACCCAGCTAATTTTTTTTTTTTTTTTGAGACGAAGTCTTGCTCTGTCGCCCAGGCTGGAGTGCAGTGGTGCAATCTCGGCTCACTGCAAGCTCCGCTTCCTGGCTTCATGCCATTCTCCTGCCTCACCCTCCTGAGTAGCTGGAATTACAGGCGCCCACCATCATGCCCGGCTAATTTTTTGTATTTTTAGTAGAGACGGGGTTTCACCGTGTTAGCCAGGATGGTCTCGATCTCCTGACCTTGTGATCCGCCCGCCTCGGCCTCCCAAAGTGCTGGAATTACAGGCACGAGCCACCGCGCCTGGCCGGACCCAGCTAATTTTTATAAATAATTTTTGTAGAGGTGGAGCCTTGCTCTTTTGCCCAAGCTGGTCTTGAACTCCTGGGCTTAAGTGATCCTTCTGTCTCAGCCTCCCAAAGTGCTGGGATTCCAGGTGTAAGCCACTGCGCCCAGCCTACTTTTCACCTCTCTGCAGCTCCCTCTTTGCTCCCAGCTCCTGCCCTCACTCCTCCAGGCTCTTCCACCCAACAGTGGCAAGCAGGTAAAGCTGGGGAAGCCAAGTCTTGAACCTGAGCCAAGTCTCATCCCTCCTCTGCTCAAGAACCCTCTATGGCTGCCACTTGACTCAGAGTAAAATTTAGTGTCCTCCCCATGGCCCACAAAGCCGTGGCACAGACCGCCACATCACCTTTCTGCCCTCACCGCCTCCCACTGTCTCCCTGACTCACTCTGCTCAGGCCACGCAGGCCTCCTTCCTGTTCAGACATGCTAGGTCTAGTGCAGCCTCAGGGCCTTGGCATTTACTGTTCCCTCTGCCTGGACTGCACTGGTTCCCCCACTGTCTACTGGCCTTTGTTCACATGCCCCTTTCTCAGAAAGGCCTCCCCTGACCACTTGAAAATGGCCATCCTCTCGGAGGTTGTAGTGAGCCGAGATCGCGCCACTGCACTCCAGTCTGGGCGACAGGGAGACTCTGTCTCAAAAAAAAAAATCTGACCTAAATCTGACCTCCCCCTCAACCTTCTAGTTTTGTTCACAACTCTTGGTGACAAAACATGCTAGTGGCTGTCTGCCCCCACCCCCTACTTCCCCAGCACGCACAGGCTAGAGTTCAGGTCCCATGAACCCCAGAGGCCGGCTTGGTGTTTTTCACTGCCATATCCCGGGAGCTGGAACAGGGCCTGGGATGTGGGATGGAGGGAGGCAGGAATGAATGAATGGATACATGAATGCAGGCTCCCTGAACTCTCTTGGCTGGTGGCAGGGCCAGGGTTAAGGTCCCATTCTGCACCAGAGCTGTCTCCCTCCCTGACATTGGCTTTGGGACTGTGCCTGAGCCGGCTGCGGCGGACGCCCTTCCAGCAGGCGGGAGTGAGGCTGTGCGGCCACAAGGGGGCAGTGGAGAGCGTCGCAGTCTCCGCCGCTTGCTGCCAGTCATCCCGGTGGTGACGGGTCAGCTCAGCCTCTGCACTGAAAGTCTCTCTATTGTTAGGGTTTGGGTTCACTGTGGCCAACTGGGCGAGGCATCACTGCACCAGCTCTCTGGCCCTGGCTTCCTGTGGATGGGCCTCTTCAAGACCATGGTCAGTGTCCCGGGAGAAGGGGCCTGTGGGTCCTGCCAGGGCTTGGCCCCCGTGTGCACCTGGAATGGCTGTTCTGCTAGTGTTGGTCTAATCATACTTATTTGTTTATTTTTGTGAGACAGGGTCTTGCTCTGCCTCCCAGGCTGGAGTGCAGTGGTACGGTATCAGCTCACTGCAACCTCTGCCTCCTGGGTTCAAACAGTCCTCCTGCCACAGCCTCCTGAGTAGCTGAAATTACAGGCATGCACCACCATGCCCAGCTAATTTTTGTATTTTTAGTAGAGATGGAGTTTCACCATGTTGTCCAGGCTAGTCTTGAACTCCTGACCTCAGGTAGTCCGCCCGCCTTGACCTCCTAAAGTGCTAGGATTACAGGCATGAGCCACCGTGCCCAGTCATCATATTTATTCTTTTTATTTTTTTTTTTGAGACAGAGTCTCGCTGTGTCTCCCAGACTGGAGTGCAGTGGCGCGATCTCGGCTCACTGCAAGCTCCGCCTCCCGGGTTCACGCCATTCTCCTGCCTCAGCCTCCCAAGTAGCTGGGACTACAGCTGCCCGCCACCTCGCCTGGCTAATTTTTTTGTATTTTTAGTAGAAACGGAGTTTCACTGTGTTAGCCAGGATGGTCTCGATCTCCTGACCTCGTGATTCACCCACCTTGGCCTCCCAAAGTGCTGGGATTACAGGCGTGAGCCACCGTGCCCAGTCATCATATTTATTCTTATATAAGATTCATCCTAAACTAGGGATGATTACGGTAACCCTGTCAGATGGCAGCTGGGGACAGCACACTTTGCCATGAGGATATGGAGGTTCAGAGAGGTTGGGTGACACCCAGGGCCACACAGCTAGTAAATGGGTAGGTCTGCTTCTATGGGTTGTTCACCCACCAGGTGGGCGCAATCCCAGGAGCTGTGACACGTGCTTAGAAAACGAGAGCCCTCCTTTTTACTTCTCCTGCCCCCATTAGTAATATCTTCATGATCACAAAGACACTGAAGACAGGGGCCCTGTTGCTTGCGGTACTCCCCTCCGGGCTTGGGAGGCACAAACCTCGCCCCTGCTCCCCTCCTGCAGGGTGGGCTTCGCGCCCCACCCTGCGTCCTGGCTCTTGGCCCTGCCCTGACCTTGTGCTGCCACGAGTTGCTGTTGGCTGGGCCCGGGAATCTTGGGCCTCCTGGTGAGAATTCCTCTCAAGCTAGTGGAACTGTCATCACAGAGCCACAGGCCGGCAGAGCCACCAGCCCGTGCCCCAGGCCAGAGCGCCTGCCTGCCCGCCTATTCCTGCCCTCTCCTTGCCCATCGTGCCTGAGGCTATGGAATCACACCCCATGCCCATGGCCAGTGCTGGGACTTTGCTGACACCAGTAGCCCCCCCCCACAGGTATCCCTTCATCCGCCCAGAACATCTCAGCCCCTCCCAGCCCCGTGGCTCTGTGGGCTTCCTCAGGAGGGCCTGCCTCTCCTCCCTGCCTCACCGCTTCTCCTGGAGATGGGGCCAGAGCCTGCCGCCTCCCTGTCTGTGCTCAGGACCCCCTGCCTGGGGCTCTGTTCAGCAGCTGCCTGTGCCCTCTGCAGCCCTGGGCTTCCCCTGGGAGCCCCTGCCCGCTGCTGGCCTCAGGCCTGGGCAGGTGTGTATATATATATATGTGTGTGTGTGTGTGTGTGTGTGTGGCAGGCACAGAGCAGAGGTTGCAGTGGCAGTGGGATGTGGGGCGCGGAGGCCTTGATGAGGTCTCACTTCAGCCCTCCCTCTGGGGGTGGGGAACCTCTCCTGCTCCTCCCACCCGACTGTTTTTATTTTGATGGGTATTTGGGGCCTGTTTGTTAAAATAATTTATTGAGGTGAAATTCACGTAACATGAAACTAACCGATTTAAAAGTGAACAGTGGCATTGAGTGCACACGCAGCATCGTGCAGCCTCCACCTCTGTCTCGTTCCGGAACATTGTCCTCACTCCGAAAGAAGACCTAGCAGCAGCCACTCCCCATTCCCCTGCCCCCGCCCAGCCCCTGGCCCGTCATCTGCTCTGGGCATTTGACATAGATATGGGACCCTTTGTGTCTGGCTTGTCTCACTTAGCGTAACTTATTTCTTTTACCCCACCTGGAATATCTTATTTAACTTTGTTACTTAGAAATAATTATAGGCCGGGCCAGGTGGGCTCACGCCTATAATCCTAGCGCTTTTGGAGGCCGAGGTGGGCGGATTGCCTAAGCTCAGGAATTCGAGACCAGCCTGGGCAACATGGAGAAACCCCATCTCTCCTAAAACACAAAAAATGAGCTGGATGTGGTGGTGTGTGCCTGTAATCCCAGCTACTCGGGAGGCTGAGTCAGGAGAATTGTTTGAACTTGAGAGGTGGAGGTTGCAGCGAGCCGAGATCCCACCACTGCACTCCATCCTGGTGACAGAGTGAGACTCCGTCTCAAAAAAAAAAAAAAAAAAAAAAAATAGAGACACGGGGAATTGCAAAAATAGTATGGAGAGGTCCCATGCTCCCCCCAGAGCCTTTCTGTCCTCTCTCTAGGAGGAGATGGCCGATGAGCTGGGGATTTGGGGCAGGAAACGGGAGAAGGGCAGCCGTCCCACTGAGGACTCATCCTGCCCAGGTGGCCCTAGCCATGGGCATTCCTGTCCCCTGCAGCCCGGGCTTACCTCTTTGCAGGCTCGGGCGTCTCCTCTCCTTGGGCTCAGGCTGGCCTGGTCGCCGCTGCTGCAGCTGTGCGTGTGGCCCCTCTCTCGGCCGCCCCCTCCTGCCGCAGCCTGGCGTCCTCTCCCAGCAGCTAGCCGGGACCCCGATGGCCGTACTCTCCCTCCTGGGCCCTGGTTCAGTGCCCAGGTTGGGGGGAGCAGGGTAGGATTTCACCCCTCCCCCTAGCAGCTGGCTGGACAGGGAGAGGGGCTGGTTGTATTTTAAGCTGTTGAGTGGTTCAGCAGGAACTCGGAGGCCTCCTCTCCCTGTGGACGCCGGGCTGCCTTCCTGCGGGCCACACGGGCTCAGAAGCATGTGGGCACTGCCTGCCTGGGGCCCGGGAACTATTAATATACCTGCAGCCACAGGCCAGGCCCTGTGCCCGCCCAGGGCCCTGCTGTGCTAACCCTTTCCCGTGCATCCCGCCCCCTGTCCTCTGTCCCTCTCCCACAAATCCCCTTGGTGGGGTCAGACGTCCCGCGTGGTGTGACCGAGCTCTTTTTTCTGGCCCCTCCATGTGCCAGCTCTTTGGCCTTGTTATCGCTGTGGCTTGGGGGAGCTCAGTAACCTTCCCCTAGAGGCCACATGGCCAGGCAGTGCCTGGAGTTGACAGCAGGGACTCAGGAGGCCCCATGGGCCAGAATTTCCTGGCTGCTGGGCCCATTCCCACCCTCCTGTCCAGGAAGTGGGGGCGAGTGTGTCATAGCTGGGGAAATAGGCCCCCATGGTGTGGTGACCGCCAGGCCAGCAGGGGAGTGGGGATCTGAACCAAACCCCCAGGCAACAACACCTCCCATCCCATGGGGTGTGCCCATCTGTCAGGGGTCACCTAGTGCACCCCACGCACCATTGCAGGGGACCCTCACAGTCCTGGGAGGTAGTCCGCTTCCTACCTGCCCCCTTCTGAGGCCTAGAGAGAGGTGACATGCCTGGGGTCCCCCAGGGACTACAAGGCAGGGCTGGTTACGGTTCCCGAGTGCAGGCCACCAAGCCCCCTTGTCTCCCACTGTCGTTGGGAGTGTGCAGGAGGGGTGCCCACCTTCTCTGGCTTGACCGTGGTGCCCTCTCCCGCAGGGTGGGCCCTAGTTGCCATGGCCCAGTCTCCCTGGGCTCTGGGTGGGTGGACCTGCCCTGGGATGACCCCGGCCCAGAGTTTTGTTTCTGAGCGTTATGTCCTGCTCCTTTTCCTCAGGCAGCCTCTGGGGGCCCCTGCTGGGGGTTCTGTGGGTAGGAAGGGTCCCCCAAGAATTGCTGGCCGGTGGCTGACTTGGTATCAGGCCTGCCTGCTTGCCACGACCCCTGTGTGATAGGATTGCACTGACCCCTGCATAGGGTGGGTCAGATCCGCGGGGACTGCCTCCCTCCAGCCCTGCCCCTCTGCACCCCCATCATTCATCACTGGCCTGGGGGCTCAGGGAGGGCTGGGCCGGACTCCTCCCTCAGGGGCTGGCACAGGCCTGGCTCTTGGACGCAGGAAGCGCCGGGCTTTAGCGGGGTGCAGGTCCTGGGTAGGGGTGCAGTGTTTGGGCTGACTCAGTGGGAAGCCTGCCTCACAGGTGGCTACAAGGTGAGAAGTGGGTGGGGAGGAAGGTCGGGGAGGCCTCCTCAGCCCAGACTGGAGGCGCTTGCCTAAAACTTCCAAGCACCCCGATCCTTTCCACACTTTGAGAGAGGCTCTCTGCACCCATAACTCCAGAATCTGTCACCTCCCTGGTAACACAAATGCACAAGGAAAATAATCCGAAGTGTCTCTTACAGCTCCGAAGGGGAAATGGATGATCTGTCTCGTGGATTCTCAAAATAGCTGGGATTTCTCCAAGCCCAGTGAACTCCCTAGGCCTGAGCTGTGAGCTGGGGCCTGCACGGCCTGCTGGCCTCTCACTCTCCTCAGGCCGCTGGCTCTGTGCAGGGTGGGGGCTGGGAGGTGTCACCATGCCTGCCCCTGGGGCTTTCCCTGTGCTGGTGCTGTTGAGGGACTGTGACCCCTCAAAAACTGCTTTCAGGGCAGCCTGGCTCCCGGGGGTCACCTCCTAAACCCCCCTCAGAGAAGGTCTATGGCATGGCTCCTGGGAGGGGGGCGCAGTCCGGGCTGGTTTTATATTTAGCTGGGCTGTGGCTGTGGTTGCCACTCGGGTTACATCTGGCACAGAAGCCGGCAGTGCCAGGGCCGGCACGGGCTCCTTTCCAGCACCGCGGCAGAATTTGATCGCGCTTGCCCGGCCCAGGGCTGCTTCGCGTGGGGAGGTCGGTGGTGGGGGCTGACGGCTGGCAGCTGGGGCTGCTGGCCACCGTGGACAGAGCCGAGCGGCAGGGCTGGTGGCAGGCGGCATGGACATGAGCTTGAAGTTGGTGGCCCGGGAGGCCACCCCAGGTCTCCTCCCTGGCCTCAATGGGCTCCCCAGGCCCGCACCCCCAAAGGTGGCCAAGAAACCTAAAAAGGCTGTTCTCTTCTTCGAGGTGGAGATTCTGGATGCAAAGACAAGGGAGAAGCTGTGTTTCCTGGACAAGGTAGGACCGGAACATGGGCTGCACTGGGCCAAGGGCACTGGGTCCAGGACCCCCCTCCTTCCAGCCCAGGAGCTGTCCAGTGGGGCCCTGTGGAGGGGTATGCCCTCACTTGGGGTAGGGTAGATAGCCCCGTCCCCTGGGTGTGGCGGGGAAATGGAGGCATGGGAGTCTCAGTAGACCCTGCGGGGATTTTGGTCTTGGGAGGGTGGTGGAGGAGTGAGCCTTGCCCCTGCTGAGCCTTGCCCCTGAGGGAAGGGGCTTGGCCTGTCCCTGGGGAGGAAAGAGGGCCTTTGCGCCTGGGGGAGTCATGGGTGAGGAGTAGAGAGGAGGGGCAGAGAAGCAGGCTTGCCTTCCCTTGCTTAATCTGCCACTAGCTGGGCTGGGGGCCTGCTGGCTGAGGGTAAAACTGGAGCCCCAGACCCCTGCTGTCACTGCACTGGCAGGGCCCTCGCTGCTTCTTCCCTGATTGTCCAGGCCTCTGCCTTCCAGACCCCAGCCCTTCCCCCTTCCCATAGCTGCAGCCCAACCCCAAGCCTGCCATCCCCTTCATTACCTCCCCATCCTGGGTCTGGGCTCCCTGCAGAGCTGACCTCCCTGCGCCTGTGCTTCCTCCAGGTGGAGCCCCACGCCACCATTGCGGAGATCAAGAACCTCTTCACCAAGACCCGTGAGTCCTAGGCCTGGCCACACTGCCCCTGCAACCCCTCTGACCAGGGACCTTAGGGTGGGAGGGATCCCATCCTGCACCCCTCTCCCAGGGGCCTGCAGAGATGCCCGAGCGTGGCCTAGGCTTCTGGGGCGTGACTGGGGCAGGCGCCCCCACGTGGCACGCCACAGGAACGCCCTTGCTAGGCTCTGGGAAGGACAAGATCCGTCCTGGAACTGCACAGGCCTGAGGCTTGGCCTCCGGGTGGGAGGAGCTGTGGAGTCCTGGGGTCCCTGCACCCTGGGAACCCTGAGAAGCTGGCACAGCGACTGGGCAGCGGACCGGCTGAGCCCTGCCAGTCTGTGGGCTGTAACCGCCCTGTTCTCCCCCAGATCCGCAATGGTACCCCGCCCGCCAGTCCCTCCGCCTGGACCCCAGTGAGTACAGCTGTCCGCTCGGCCCGCCCCCTAGGCTCCTGGGTGGCAGTGGGAGAAGGCCCGGGTAGCCCCTGAGCCCTGGCCCGCCTCTCTGCAGAGGGCAAGTCCCTGAAGGATGAGGATATTCTACAGAAGCTGCCCGTGGGCACCACGGCCACGCTCTACTTCCGGGACCTGGGGGCCCAGATCAGCTGGGTGACGGTGAGTCCTGACCCTACCCACGGCCTCCTTTCCCATCAGCCACATTGGGTGACTCAACTTGCCTCCCTCTACCCTCAGGTCTTCCTAACAGAGTACGCAGGGCCCCTTTTCATCTACCTGCTCTTCTACTTCCGAGTGCCCTTCATCTATGGCCACAAATACGACTTCACGTCCAGTCGGCACACGGTGGTGCAGTAAGTGGGGCAGGCGGGAGGAGGGTAGGGGAAGGCAGAAGACCTGCCGGACCAGCCCCCAGCTGAGCCTGCTCCCCCCTACCAGCCTCGCCTGCATCTGCCACTCATTCCACTACGTCAAGCGCCTGCTGGAGACGCTCTTCGTGCACCGTTTCTCCCATGGCACCATGCCTTTGCGCAACATCTTCAAGGTGAGAGCCCGCCCCCGCCTCACCCCTGAGCCCCGCCTCACCCCTGAGCCCCGCCTCACCCCTGAGCCCCGCCTCACCCCTGAGCCCCGCCTCACCCCGACCCCGCCTCACCCGAGCCCGCCTCACCCCTGAGCCCCGCCTCACCCCTGAGCCCCGCCTCACCCCTGAGCCCCGCCTTTCCGCCTCACCCCGCCCACATCGAGCCCTACCCCATAGCCCCTCCTATCTTCCACTACGCCCCCGCAGAGCCCTACCCCTAGGCCCCGCCTAACCTCCCCAGCGCCGCCCCCGCAGAGCCTCTAGGCCCTGCCCGTCCTCCCCAGCCCCGCCCCTGCAGAACCCTGCCCCAGTTTCACCCCTAGGCCCCTCCTGTCCACCACGCCCTCATAGAGCCCTGCCCTAGCCTCACCCCTTGGCCCCACCTATCCTCCCCAGCCCCGCCCCAAGGCCCCTCCTGCCCTTCCCCACCATGCTCCTAGGGCCCTATGGATGAGACAGAATCCGCCCTGCCCGTCGCTGACAAGTCCCATCCCTACCCCGCTCCCTTTCAGAACTGCACCTACTACTGGGGCTTCGCCGCGTGGATGGCCTATTACATCAACCACCCTCTCTACACGCCGCCTAGTAAGTGGCCTCAGACCGTCCTTCCCTCCCCCACGGCCCCCACCCACCGGGTCCTCCCCTCATGGGCCTCCCCTCGCTGCTTCCTCTGCAGCCTACGGAGCTCAGCAGGTGAAACTGGCGCTCGCCATCTTTGTGGTAAGGAGGCTGGGTGTGGGGACGGGGTGGGGGAAATCTGGGCGATCCTAGGCTGATCCTGCTTCTCTGACAGATCTGCCAGCTCGGCAACTTCTCCATCCACATGGCCCTGCGGGACCTGCGGCCTGCTGGTGAGTGCCTGCTGGGGGCAGGGGGACAGCTGGGCTGGGTGAGGGGATCTGACTTTCTCCTGTCTTGCCTGCCAGGGTCCAAGACCCGGAAGATCCCATACCCCACCAAGAACCCCTTCACGTGGCTCTTCCTGCTGGTGTCCTGCCCCAACTACACCTACGAGGTGAGGGGCTGCCTTACCCCTCTCTGCCCTGGGACTTGGGGTCCCATGTGGAGGGGCCAGCCCCTAGGAGGGGGCGCCTGGCTGGGCAGCTGCTTTTGCATTGGGAGCATTGGGAGGTGGAGACCGCGGCCTCCCTGCTGTGGGGGCCGGGAGGCATGTGCCCTTGGGTTTTCGCAGTATACAGCCCCGCTTCCACTGGAATTGGGTTCCCATCCCTGACTCAGAAAGCAGGGGCTGGGGGACGTGGGTGACTGAGTCCAGGACAGCCACAGGGTGCGAGACTGGCGGAACAGCGGGCCTTGTCCAGCCCTGCCCACCCTCACCCTCCGCCCCTGCCCACAGGTGGGGTCCTGGATCGGTTTCGCCATCATGACGCAGTGTCTCCCAGGTGAGCCTGCCGCCCTCCCTCGGCGGGGCCCTGCCCCTCCGGGCCTGCAGCCCCTCCTTGACGCCCGTTCTTTCCTGCAGTGGCCCTGTTCTCCCTGGTGGGCTTCACCCAGATGACCATCTGGGCCAAGGGCAAGCACCGCAGCTACCTGAAGGAGTTCCGGGACTATCCGCCCCTGCGCATGCCCATCATCCCCTTCCTGCTCTGAGCGCTCACCGTTGCTGGGGCTCAGCCCCTCACCCGGGTGGCATTCTGGGGGAGGAGTGGGGCCCGCAGCTCTCCAGCACCCGGAATAAACCCCGCCTGCCC